AGAGAGAGAGAGAGATACATACATGATGTATTTTTTAATTACAATACATATAAACAATTTAGCAGCTGGCATTTTTTTCCTCGCATCAACATATTTTAATTCTTGCCCCTTATAAGACTTTCACATAATATAATTTCTCGGTTATTGAATCAGACGGAAATACTTTCAGTGTTCTGGTAAAGTTTTAGTAATACACAATTGCTCATCTACAGGCCTTAAATCTCTCATGATTTATAGAGCAACACTGCCCCTAGAGGTGGATTTAGAAACACTACTGATTTGCAGGACTGTAATGCTCAAACAGATTGCCTTGGCTACTAAGGGCTGTACCCAAATAATAAATATGAAATTTAATTCAGCTCAAAAACCCTTATTGATTTCAAAAGGGAGATAAAATAAATATGAAAAATACAGATTCCCTTTCTATTGTTTAATTGTACGTTATGGATGACAATAACATTTAAGGAATGAAACATAACTGACTTACAAAACTGTTTAATAGAGATGTTAGTGGGAAAATGTCAAGCAGAGTAATCAAAAGCCATTTGCCCCTACGCTTGAATGTAAGTTAGATGAAAAGGATTTTCTATTGCAAACATATCAGCCTGAGAGTAAAATGTGCAAACCAATATTTCCTAAAATACAGCTAGCTGTAGATTCCTTATATCTAACCATTATGGAATATATGTTTAAATGAAGTCTTAGACTTAGAGTTTGCTACAAATCATTTAGAGGACACAGAAAACATATTTCTGAATGGTGAAACATGATTGAGGTTGTATCATGCTTAGGGAATTCGGCATGGAGAGGATCCAAATGTATGTCACACAGATTTATATTTTTGAAAGAAATCTGAAAGCCGCTCATGATTCTCCTTTTTCTGCGTTATTTGCCTCTTTATGTTGGTCTGCATATTTATGCAATGACAAAACAAAATGTGAAACCAATTAAGAGGAACCTTAACAGGACTTATGCATAAAGTATTAAAATTTTCTTTATTTATATATTTTTGACCTCATGTGCTAATTGGATTTTTAGTTATTGAAGTCTTTTAATCTTGGCATAACCTTTCTTTTACATTTTCTAAAAGCTGGGGTGTCTTTTGAAAACTTTTTCAGGTTCAAGCAAATGTTTAACTTGCATAAGGTGGAGCTCTAAAAATAGAGCTTCTCTGCAGCTGGTGAAGCGTGACCCATTTGTGAGGTTCAGCAAACTGTGGCGAGCCAATCATTTCCCCTCGTAACGCATGGAACGTCCATGTTACATCAGGACCGATTTATACCCATCGATTCTCTTGAAAGCTATGACATATCTTTGATCAAGTGACATCAGCAGTTTGATTTCTCCCAGGATGCAAATGACATGTGCTGCTAAGTCTCTTGGAAACAGGCAGGACAAAATGAAAGGTCCTTCAACTGTTGCATAACTCAACAGAGAAGTTTATGATTTGTAGAAGATCTATTTGTGGCTGTAGAAACTTTAACCCAAATAAAATAAAAATTGCTGTCTAATCTTTAAAACTGACTTATTAAACTTTGGTTGTAATGAATGTGATAAAACCTTTGCAAATTCAAACTAGAGAGAGCTTCAATGATGACTCAGCAGCCCCTCATCACTGACCAAGCTCTTCAGTTCGCCTTTGTCTCCCCCCCACCCTCAATCCCCTGGCCCCTTTTGACTTTTGTGTGCTTTTTGTGAACATCTGACCCCTTTACGTTTAAAAAGAATAGAAGGAGGGGGATTATGGTAGGGGGAGCCCAGCTTGTGTTGGTTGGTGAGCATGCTGCGAGTTTTGATTAGTAAATGCTGACACTAAATAAGCCTCAGCTGTTTCCTCTCACCAGTTAATCCCACTCACACCGAGCCTTTGGTGCTTTAGATCGTCCCAGCAGCTCGGTGTGACCTGGGATAGGGGAAAGATTGAGTGGTAGCCCCCGGAAGGCCTACCTCCCACTGCCACATCATCACTGTGACATAATCGAAAAATACACACATTCGACTCAGCACTGAAGCATGAAGTCTCACAGTGATGTGAGCTCACACATTCCAGGAAACGGTGGAACAAGTGCTACGGCTACAGACTAGAAAAAACAGTTTGGAGCAGATCAAAATCACCAGCCTGTGTCTAAATAGATATATAATTTGGGTTGTACGCAAAATTACACATCTGCTAAAGAAAAACAGTTTTTAAAACAAGGTAAAAAAATTCATTGCAATCAAATGTTAGAATGATTAAACCACTTACTATCTTTCCATCTCTAGAATAAGACTGATAAAGCCAAAGATGATAAATATCTCAGCCATTAAGTGATTTACAGTCCTATTTTATGAATTAGAATCTGTGTTTTAATGAGGCTCATTAATCATTAATGTACCTTAAGAAAAAACAACATCCTTCAAACAACTATTAATCATACTTTTCATAAGACTCACATGTATGGAAAATAATTTCATGGTCTAAAGGAATATTCTAATCCTAAATACTGTGGTTTCCTCACCTCTAAGCACAAAATCCTCAACTATAACAGAAAGAATGACTTGAAATCTTTAAGTTGATGGAATAAATCTATATATACATTTTTATTATTTTATTAAATTGGTCTTTAGACCTATAAAGCCCTTGTAGTATATATTTTTTTCCAATCTCCTGATCTTACATCTATAAACTTCTTGGTATTTCAATAAGATTATAGATAGTAAATTTTAAAACACTAAGGATTTCACTCATTTTGCTTTTCAAAATAGCTAAATCAAAGTCAAATATATTATCTGAACAGTTTTGAATATGGGTGTAAGGACCTCCAGTTCGAAGGTGAATGTCTAACTTTTTCTTAGCTCTTTTGCATGTTTTCTCTCACTATTGTCTGGAATTTAGCTCCATTTATCACCCTATCAACTCTGGCAAGGTTTCTGATTTCCTGCTGAAAAAGGTCACGCCCACAGCACAATGCTGCCATCACTATGTCTCACTGTGGCTCATGACTTCAATGTTATTGGACTTTTTCAGGTCAAACTTCCCTAAACAAAGATTTGTGAATTTCCCAAATGTGTCAAGAGATTCCCGCATGGATCCAAGGGACTCTGCGACTCGTACAGAGTTACACACTTGACTACTTTACTGGTTAATGTTACCCTTGCCTATCTTGTTAGTTTGGGTAGTGAATGTATATTTATAGATTTTCAATCATGCCAAATCCTCTTCATTTTCACAGGGTCAATGCATTAGGGGTCATTCTGTTGTTCAAAACATTTTTCAATGAACTTACCCCTACTTGTCTTGTCTATTTCATAGTCCTCTCTGGCTGTGCATTAATGTTCCCAATAACTATTAGAAGCCTTAACAGGTCAGGATTTGTGATGTAAAAGAAAGAGGAGCAATTATGTTTTTCAATCTTTGTTTCAGGTTTAACTTGACAAGTTTAGGACCAGTTTAACTCTGGTGGTTGAACTTTTCTCCATCCTTGCTCTGAATGGTGATGGGCTTACAGTAAATGAATAGATTTGTCTGCCAAAAATAAAGTAATTCATCCTGATTCAAAAGAAAATATCTTTCGAATACAGAATTTACAGTAAATCAGAAGAAAAATTTGTACTTGTGTCCTTCCCTCCTGCTTGCACACGCTTAGATACACACATTTTCAAATGAAAATAGCTGAGTGTGAGTTAAAGGTGTTTCAACAACAGCTGTTGCACGGTACATATCACTACTCAGTTTTAGACTCTAAAGTCTGTCTGTCTTTGAAATACAGCCAAGGCTCCAGTGTCAGACCTGGCCATTGTGGTTTTGCCACATCAAACATGCAATGCGAAATGCACTTTATTTTAATGATGTTCCCAGGCTTATTTTTTTAAGATTTAAACATAATTTATGTTGACAATGGTGATTGTAAGTAGTTTTTAAACATCCCCAGTGTGGCGGCAGACATTGTTGTGGTCCTTCATGTTTAGTCGAGGACAGCAACACGATAGCCTGAGTGATAGCGTGGTATGTTCTCATGCCAAGTGTCCTGTCCCTGTCATGCCACACCCCCAGAATGGTGAACATTCCCCCTCTAACCATCCCTCGCATGTATTCTGCAGTCCAAATGATCCCCAGCCTGCGTGTTTGCAACACAAACACCGCTTCAGAAGTTTTACAGTCCGAAGAAGTGCAGCACCGTTTGCACCTCTGTGTCCATCATTAAAATAGAACTAGTGAAAAGTGGATGCCTAGTAGGTCAGTACATTAAATCTGCTCTCAGGTGTCGTTTTATTGTGCAGAGAAATACATGTAAGCTCTTTGTGAAGGCAGATGAAGATGGTCTTTGCAATGAACTTGTTTTTCCTCCAAGCCTACTGTAGACATCAGGTTAGCTGTATTTATAATCTTAAGGTTTATTATAGCCAGCAGTAAATCCTTGTTTGCTCTGAGAACTTTTTCAGATGCAAAGCACATGAGGAAAAAGACGTCCAGTTTTCCTTTTTAAGATTTTCTTACATTTCCTGTCTGGCTTATTTTTCCAGAATTTATCCTCTAAAGGATCTTATTAATTAAGGTTTTGGTTATCCTTGCAAACCACTTATGTTTACAAATGTTCCAGACAAAATAAAACTGCTCTGATAATATTTTTT